AAAGAAGCACAGTCTACCAAACTTTCTCCTATAGGTTCATACAAGACCTGCTATTCTCACAATTATTTCACCTAGATGGTAGCAATAAGACAATCAGTTCAGTGGATCATCACATCAATCCAAGCAGATTGGATATAATTTTAAGATCAATTTGGCTTAATAGAGCCATTAATTATCCCAGCTCAAGCAAGCTGTTGGAAAGAAAATTTCTCATTTGGAAAAACACAAAATACACTTGAGCATCTGGATGGCTCAAAAATCTTTACCCTCATACTTCAAGAAGTCCAGCATTGAGGGTTTAAAATTATTTCTTAACTTTTATTTGAAGGGATTAACTTTGAGCAAGAAACTAAGCAGTAGGAAGGGAAAAGCATTTTTCACTTCAGTCCATAACAAAAGGGTAGTCCTCATTTAACAGCATGCCTTTAAGTTCATGAGCCAATCTCATAACTATATGAAGTATTGGTAGTTACACAGACAGATATAACTCAATTTCCTTTTATAACCAACAATCCTCATGAAAGCTAGACTCTCACAAGCAAGTATTCCACTGGGCTGTTGAAGGGATGTGTCAGAAAAAACTTTGAGTCTCATCAGACTAAGGTAAAAGGTATCTCAAAAGATGACACATCCTTAATATTCCAAGAAAACAACAAAACAGAACTACAAATGCCTTGGCCAACAGTCTTGCTGGCTGAATCCTTTTCTTATGCACAAGAGTAAAGTAAAATTGTAAGTAATTCTGTCTGGCAAGAGTTTTTATATCTAAACATACACACAAACATACAAGAAGGGATTTCGCACAACATAAATGGTAGCAGCTGTCTCCAGCAGTCAGTCTCTACCAATTAGAATGGTGAATAGAAGTATCGTGAATAAAAGACCAGGTGATGCTGACTGGAGATTTAAATGCAGAAGGCATCACTGTAGATTAGATTTTACTATCTCAATTTCAACGTGCGCAAAATGGTTTAAGACAATAAAAACGACTGTGCATTTTCTTCTGCGTTTTAATCACAAAGTAAAGTATGAATTAGCACCAGTACCAATAAAAAAAGAAGTAAGATGGAAAGCCTCTCTTTAAACAGTTTCTTAATGTGCTCAGCTGGACTGTACAATAACTTACCATATCACTTATTTATAAACTTCTTTTTTGCTTTGTTTTTTTTTTTTTTTTTTTTTACATTATTTAAATATAAATTAATGGAAGCTGATTACCATACCACCAGAATAGCAGATGGTCCCTGATTTCACTATGAATTTAGGCACATGCTTAAGCATTTCACTAGACCTGTAATTAATTGAATTGGAGACAGTTATGACCCCATTATGAGTCCTCTGTAATTATTGCTTGAAATACTACTCAATTTCTATTGAAGGAAAAAGAAAATATTTCTGATCTATACAAATACTTAAAGACTATTAAAAAGGCTACCTTTGACTTGTTTTTTTACTTTTGTAAGATATGTATTGATAGGTTTTTCCACAGCATTCATCAGTGCAGTATTTCTGCTCTCTGCACAATGTTGAGGTGTGGACAGTGCAACTGCAGAAGGCAATCTGAGCATCAGTGGGTGATAAAGAAGAAACTGAAGGAAGAAGAAACTTCAGTGGTTGAACTCTAATACAAACTTGCTCTTTTCCCACAGATTTCCCAACTTGAGTACATTTTATTTGTTGGCTTTCCCTTTACATCTTTACAAATAAATGTGTCTATTATGTCCCCAAGAACAACACTTTAAGGTTTCAGTTGCAGATATACCTTCACGACATCATTTACAGTATTTAGCATGTAAGAAATTAAAAAAACAACCAACTAGTGATGGATTGATGGGCATTTTTTTTAATGGTCCAAGTTAAAAGTTTCTAAGAATCTATAGTTATTTGAAATAAGACTCTTGGCTGAATGTCTGAGGAAATTTGTATGATGCCTTGTGTTTTATAAATGGCATAGAAATGAGTCAGACAGTTAAGGCTTGCTATTGTACTAATATTTGAAAATACGTAGCAGATGGTTTGCTAGAACTTTCTGCAACAAATAAAAGGTATAAGTTACCCTCACAAAACAAAATAGCACACAGAAGATTCATATATCAATGGCGCTGATATATTGCTTTTCCTCATCCAACTCAGTGGCACTGACTGTCATCTCTAATACCATCCCATGAGACTTTTGCTGGATCACAGTAAAGCAAAAATGGAGAAATGGGGAGTAAGAGGCAGCAGCAATTTCTGCAAAAATGTTAAGAGTTACTAATACAATTTTAGGATAAAACTAATAATCCCCCCCCATTCTTTGATGCCTATTTACTTCTATTTTGTTCTCTTCAAACACAGAATGTAAACCTTTCTTTCTAGTGGGTTAGACTTCCCGGTTTTCATTCAGCAACACAACACCACTGTACCTGATTTTCAGTTCCTGCAGGTGGTGGTTCAAGTCCCAGCTCAAAAACATAATCAAACACACATTCCAACTACTCTCCTCTGATATGTACCTATGTTTAAACATCAAACTTCTGAATCATCTGCTACTAAAGCCGGCCTCAACCCACAGCTAGCACTGAGCACACTGGCAGCCCATCCCTTGGTGGGCACCTACGTGCTTCAGTGCAGGCACACCCTTCCATGCTTTACTGTGTACAGAAATCTTTGCCCAAAATCACAGTGGCAGTCGGATGAACATGTGTGATCAAAGCTCAAGAGTCCTGACTTCTGCTTGTGCTTTGTAACCACCAGACATTCTCCACTCCAATACATACAGGATACGATCTCCCCACAAAGTCAATGGGAGTTTGGTCATCAACTTTCATGAGATCAGGAATTGACCCATAATGTTTTATAAAACAACAAAAAGGAATGTATTTATGGTTTTATTATTATCCCTAATAAGGAAATAAGGAGAAAGAAAATACAGTACATGGTCTAGTCTATATGCACATGTGTTACTTGTATTAATATCGATGGGATTTAAAACTACATATGGAGAGGATAAGATATATCCCTATGTGTTCAGCCATATGCTTAAGGAAGCTCCCCAAATGCTTGTAAATACAATCATGCTTTCTAAAATACTATGTATTTATTTGAACAATGTTAAATCTCTAAGCCCTACTTTCCAGTCCATTAAAGCCTCAAATAATTGTTTATTTCCAGTTTAAAGTTACTCTCTTTTTTAGCCATTAGAAAGCTGCCTGTAACCACATTTCCACAGTATTCAGGGAATTCGAGAATTGATAATAACTCTCCCATTATCCGAAGAGGTACCTCTCCAGGAAAAGAAATACTCAAGATGAACTATATTTTAGTGAGGAATTCTTTCCAGAAAATTTTGGGACAGGCCCAAAATGTGTAGCTGAAAGGTCTGGAATGCTACTTACACAACAAACATGTGTTCGTGCTGTAGACCTCAGACAACTACATTCCTTCTGCAGGCCAAAGGCCTTGAAAGCTAGTCATCCTTCTGGATAGACTTGTTCTCATTTCCTTTTTGTTTTTAAAGGTTTGAACACAGGACGAGGGACTGACCTACTAGGCACAAGAGGGTTATTCTGGATTTCCCTTATGCAGGAAGACATCAGAATTCATCCCATGATTTATGATCTGGTGCAAGTTGTCTTGGAATGAGACAGCCAAAGTATTTATGGGATATCCAATGCCTGTTAGCAAATTATGCTCATTATGTTCATGCAACTAATTTTTATTTGGCTTATCTTTTACTTCCTTTCAGTTGAAACTTGGTAACTGACTTTATGAATACTCTTGACTATAGTTTTATCCACCAAAAAGATAATTGGGATGGTTTAGTGGGTTAACTGTTTTAACTAATGTTGTAGGCAGAAACATAAAAACAATAGTCATGGAGGCATAGTCCTGATACTCACAGTGCCCTTACCACCTTACATGTGAATGCAGCACAGAACCAAAAGGCAACTTTATTTATAGTTGGCTGTCAAAAATCACCTTCTTTGCTTACTTGATGTAACCCTTTCTATGCCAAGGCAACATAGCTGTTTACTTTTAAAAATATAATCCAGAACAAAAGTTTATATTGTAGTATTACGAGTTTGTTTTCCTGCTGTTTCTTTTTGATGGTAAACAAGATATGAGATCTCAGCTTTTATTTTACCTTTTAAATCTCAACTTATGATAAAAATCCCAAATTGGACTTTTTCCTACTGAAATACTTCTTACTTTGTAATACAGAAAAACAAAACAAGCAGTCATCATCTTTTTAAACTACCTCAATGAATGGTCAAGTTAAATCCGGTTTCCCAGCAAGGAATTATGAAAAGACAGAAATAGTCCAATGACCACAGGAAATCTTTAAGCACCAAGGCGGGGACAAAAGTCTCCTGGGGAAAAGACAATATTTCCTACATGGTCATTCATGTCTCCTTGTAATACAATACAGGGGTATTGTTTGTTTGTCTGCTTAAGTAGATGCATAAAATAAAATTAGAAACAAATCCTGACTACGAAAACATTTCAAACACTAGATGCAGGTACACGCGTTGTAATACCTGCCATCACAACAATGTTGTGATGCTTCTTTCTAATATACAACCAGCTACATCTTTGACCATTAATATATATATCATCCTTGCCTCATTATAATAAAGGCCACCAACCTCCAGCAGGATCTTTGACTTCAGGTCATATTGCATCTTGCTGCAATCTTAACATTGGTCATAAAATTTTTCAAAACTATAGGAGAAACACTCTAAAATAGATCTACTTTATAGTCAGACTCCTCCCCCAAGGAATTCAGTCAAGGAATGTAAACCCAAAGATTTATTTTTCTGTTCAGTTCATGCCTGGGGTAGACTGCTGTGTTACTAAATTCCCTAGTCTGAAATCAAGAGCAAGGCAAAGTTAATAGGCCTCAATAAGCAAAAACATTTTGAGATAGCCCTCTGTGGACCATGACCTGAAGTTACAGCAATAAGCATTATCCCCACCATGAAGATGATTCAGAAAAAGGCAGGTGGCCCACTGCTTACCTCAACGTAGTCCCTGGCATGACCCCAATCTCTCTTAGCATCCAGATTGCCCAGGCTGAAACAATCCAGCTGTCCGAGGTGAATCTTTGCCACCGACCGGCTAATTTTTCGAGTAACAAAGTTGGCCCCTGGAACAGAAATAAAAGGTAGTATCAGCATAGTCACAGTGGCAGATAATTGACCACAAGAAACAGCTTGTATAGCTCAGCACATGGTACTTTCAAGTCTTCATTCACTCCCCTCACACCACCTAGGTCCATGCCACCTTTTATCATTTGAGTAGACTAAGAAGCTTCCAGTGCAAGCGTCACATTAGCTGCACTTTCGCAGCAAACATCTTTCTTTCTGGGACTTCTTAAGCATTCCTAATTTGCTGCCTCAGTATTCAGTCCAGGCATAAAGCCAAAGAAAATCATTTGGAATGTCAGTTCTTAAACACAAAATGCAAAAGGTTACATAAAGAAGGCAGACATCTTAGACCACCCTCAAGTTTTTTGTTGCTGTTCTTTTTTTCTTTTTATCTCTCTTTTTTTTTTTTTTTAAGGAATGCATATATCTAAATAAATTAGTTTATTAATAAAAAAATGAGACTGTCCAAATAACATCTATTCTTCAAAGGATTGTAATGGTTAAATGTGTTCTACTTTTCTAGTTACTTGGGATTCTTTGTCCCCCAGGTTCAGTGAGATCATGAAATTGTGATTTCAACTTTATCAGTTGAAGGCTATATATTATTTTATCATATTTCCATATTTTGTATTGCTTTGGAAAATTTGTGTACCTATTTCTGCTCCCTGTAAAGTTGCTTCAAATAATGCCTGTGTTTAGTTATTTTCATATCTTGATTTTTAGATTATGATTGTTGTGTTTCTAAAACGTGGTCAACAGTCTTCTCAAAAGTAGAGGGATTTGAATTTAGACCATGAGTTCAGGCTAAGCAAGCCCAATGGCATTTGCACACTAACAGGGCACAAAAATTAAAATTACATGCCTTTTTAATAGCTAAAAAAATGATTGAGTGGTGACAGACGATAGCTCATCCAAATGGAAGGCAGTAAAGTTAGTGAAAATAATTGCACTTGTAAAATGCTCTTAGCAAATTTCAAAAGTCCTAAGCAGCACAGTTTGTACATTCAATGCATATATCTAGTTTTTTTCGTTATGGAACTCTACTCTTGAGATATGCATCTCAATATTTTCTGTTTCCTGTCAAACAAACAATAGGCTGCTGCAAAATTATTACATAATGTGAAGTGTCTTTTTCAGACTACTAATTTTTCCTGTAAAGTCAAGAGCACTACAGTACCTTTTTGTGTCAGTTGACTTTGCCAAAATTAAAAAAAAAAGGAGCGCACCTATAAGAACCATGTGGAATGAAGCAATTAAATAACTCAGACCTTACCACAGGATTAAGACAGAATTTTAATTTTCTGTCAACTGCTGAAGTAACTGGAATTCCAGTTATTAGCCATTCAGAATCTATCATCGGTTTGCACCTGGTTTTTAGAGGACAAAATCATATCATTTCCATATTCCCTGAAAAAGTGTTCATATATAAAGGAAGCTCACAAAATAGTGTGATTTGCAAAGTTTCAGAAATAAAATATACCGGAGAGTCCTTTTTATAGCAATGTTCCCTAAAAATTGGACAAAGGAGTCAACTGCAGGATGAAAGCCCAAGCCCTTCTTCCAGGCTGCACCCTGCACTCTCAACAGGACGAATACGATTATCCAAAGATAAACCAGGCAAACCACAGGACTGATACTGTCACTCTGTTATTGCAATTTCTGAAAGCAAAGTACTGTGATCCTCCTGTTCCTGGCTGGACAGGCTTGCAGCAGGAGTGGAGTTCTGGCTTAACAGAGACCAGTGTCAGAGTCTCTTTGGCTTAGTCAGACTGGCACTTCTCCAACGATTGTTTCCATTTCTTATGTTATCAAAGTGCTTTGAGATCTTCACATAGATTATTACTAATTAATTAAAAATAGATTCAAGCTATTAGACAAACTTCTTAGGATTAGGTCCGAAACTTTCTAACCTTCCGCACCGAAATTATTTCAGTTAGCATTATTATTCAGTAAATAACAGTTGAAGGAGAAATTTTTTCCTAGGATAAAGCATATGGCTTTATGTTCCAGACTGCCATTGAGTAATAAGCAAACCTGGCCTCTTTCAACGTTACATTCCCATTTGCAGTAAAAGCCGTCAGACTTCTAGTCATCATCTGCATTAAAGCAAGTTCTACTGTCAACCTACACAACTAACGAACACCAGCTTCCATTTTGGAACAACCACTTCCACAGCATAAAAAAAAAAGGGTATTAGGTTGCGTGTGAGAAAGAGAAAACTTTTATGCTATCAACTTAACTTGAAATATATGAAAGATACTGCACAAGAAAAAGCAGATTCGTTTAGCACAACACATCAAATATTAGTAACCGCCATCTTCTTGCAGTCACTGATAACTGGAGAGAAATGATCTTCAAAGATCTTCTTCAAGTACGATCAGAATATACTTCAAAAGGTTGAAATGAAGAATGAAAGAGCACCACAGTGAAAAATGAAAACCTCTATTTTCCAGAAATATTCCAGTAAGAGTTCAACAAAATAATACCAATCCTCTTCTTGGAAGTGTCTCAGCATTAAAGCTATGGAAGAAAACTATGCCGCTGTTCATTCTGAGAAATGTGATTAGATTTTTTTTTTTCATGCAACCAAGGACTGAGTGGAACATTTCAGAAGCATTTAAATGATATGGTTCATAAATAATGTTTAAATACCAATTGTCTTCAAACACAGTATCTTAAAATATCCCATTACACTGTATGTTTGATCCTATGCCATTAAATGCACATCATAACTAGAATTTAACCCGATGCCCACTGGAGTCATACAAAATAGTTAAGGCTATGTCAGCATTTCCATTATAAAGCTCTGTCCTAAGGGTTTGCAATTGGGCTATAAAACCTTGCTTTGGCCTGAAACTTGGCAGACGTAATGTCTCTTTCCTCAGGAATTATTCTATCTAAAAGGTCTATGTGGAGTGCTACAGATATCTTTATGTAACTGAATAGAAAGTACCTTTTGAGACACAGAAATGGTTAGCTTCCTTCTTCTCAGGAGGTATTGAGGACTTGCTGATGTTGAACCTACAAGTGTATTTTCCTCCATAGAATGGCCAGTTAGTGCCAGTAAGAGTATCAACAGAGCTGCTGGTGTGTTCACCACTTCATCCTTTATGTTGATTTTCATCGGATCAAGATGATGCAGCAGCTAAAATGCCACCAGCTATCACAGCTGAATAAAGCCTACTTTATTATGCTACTAACATTATTAATTCACATGGAAATGTGTTGGTGGTAGCAACAGAAACTAGCTTAGTTTGGCGGGGAGAAGAGAGGTCCTAGTCCCACATTTGTCTCCTGGCTTTGTACTGCTTCCTTGCTTCAGAGAGGTTTTCTAAAAACACAGCTTATTGCTCACACCTAGTACAAATGAACGTGGAGTGTTCAAAAGTCTATTAAATGTGTGATGAATTTTGACTTATTTGAACACTTTTTCAAAATGTGTGAGGGTGGCACTGTTCTGGGAGCTCACTATCCTACAGCAACCAAGAGAGGAGTCATTCTTGCTCTCTCGGCAGGGCCAAGCATGCTGGGTTAACTGCCTTGCATAGCTATCTATGCAGCAAATACATCCAAAGCACGCTGGGCCACATTATACTCTGGTTTGCATCACTACTGGCAGCACTGGAATCGCTGTACCGCAACAGCAGAGGTCTGGCCAGATGTTGCAAAGGATGCTTTGGTGTGTTCGCACCTTTCAGCAGTTCCAAACAGCCTTGGTTGAGCAGTGCCTGACAAGTCTTTACATTTTTAAAGAGGCCTTAAACATGAGTTTTCATGATATTAACAGCTCTTTCAGGAACCATGGGCATTAGCTTAGATTTGTTTTCAAAACCCAAGCCCTCCCTCTGAGATCATTAGCATTCCAAGAGGAACCATAAGGTTTGATTTACAAACCCGATTTATCCTAGATACAATTTTAAGCAAGGATTCCTCATCAAGCAGACCTGATCTGCAAAACATATAACTTGTCAGTAAACCACTATGGGAACAATACTACAATAAAAAGAAATAGCTGAGGTATAATGCAATAGCTTCGGCTCTCCAGCCCAGGCCTGTCGCCCGCTGCACTGTCTGGCTCAGGGTGGAAAACAGCTCATGCAACTCATCCCTCCGAGAAGGACACTGCCTACATCTGGTAAAGATACAGTTTTGAAAATTGGACACATCTCTTATAACACATATTTAGAACTATTGCTTTAGGAAGCACGCTTTCAATGCACCTACAGTTCCAAAGCTGTATGCCCTGAGACAAAAAAAATCTGGGTCTCTGCATCAGTACCCCATTCCTTTTACCAGCACTGAGGTTTCATCCTTTGTGTATTATCAGGAAAACAGCCATTTGAAGTAGGTGTTTTTCTCTAGAATCTGTGGTTTATAAGAGGTAGCCAAATGGATGAAGCACCTTTAAGAGTCACTGTTACAGTAACCACTTCTTTTCAAGAACCCTCATTTTCCAAGCTCTCAAGGCTACATACAAAATTCAACAGATGACAAAATTGTGGTCTTAGGAAGACTGCTATCCCTATATATCATTAGTTGTTTCAGGCATAATAAAATCCATCATAATAGTAGTAATATCATAGAATAAATCAATCCGATAGCATTTAATAGCAATCGGCTGAGATGCAGTCCTAGCAGTCTATTAAGTTGCCATAACACTTTTCTCTTTGTTTTGCACAAAATAGGATAAAACGATTTCTGTCTCTAAAGATGCTGGCACAAGAAAAAGGGTGAGGTGTTTGTTTTTTTTTTCCCTCCAAGTTTCTACAATTCTGGCATAGATTCTGGTGGAATCCTAACATGTTCAAACACGTGTACCCAGTGCTTCTACTAACCCAAAAGAACATATTTCTTTTAACATACATATGTTGTAGATGATACATGTAATGAGATCATTAAAATGTTTTGATTGTTTGAAAATCCACACTGCTCATAATTTCCATTCTATGAGAAGGTTTTCCATTTTTGTAACAAGCTGAAATTTAAAAAAAGCAACATT